ATATTCTAAATTGTTACTTTAATCTTCCAAATGCAAAGTTTGGTCATACCCAGTCATATTTGGCACTTTTTTCTACTTCAGTTTTGTCTGTCTAGTTTTGGTGAAGAAACCATCCTGATGTTGGGGTAACAGGAATTTCTGCAGAGTGATTGTCAATGACATTTTGTGAACTTTACAAGTAATTAAAACACAAATTTAGTAAAATGAAACATAATTGTTGGTTTTTTTTGTATGAAACTGCTTAAAAAAGCCTTTGAAAAGTGTTTTTGTGGTCTTTTCAGGGTTTTTAATCAAAAACTTCCATATAAGGCAAAATTTTACTAAGAGTACATCAAGATATTAGTTTCTAGATGTACTTGCAATACTGGTCAAAGCAAACACAGAAAACAATTCATATTTATTAAGCATAGTATTTTACACCATTCTTTTACAAACAGTCAATATGCAACTTTATATACCAAATATACATTGGCCGCAGTATGGGCTGTAGTATAAATTTTCCTCTATCTTTACAAGTTCAGCATTTATGAATGTTGTATTGAAACAGGAACTTTAAAATTGGATACATTACATGATTATTACAAAAAAAGAGGGAAAAGCTACTAAAAAGTCCCTTATAGGGGTAAATTCAGTAAATAAATATACGTCATCAGGGACCGCCCATTTGGGGGAGAGCTTTCTGTATAAAACTGAAGTCATGTGCTCTTCTGATTGGTAGATAATGTTTGTAATAAATATTTTTTGATAGATGGATAAAAACTAGAGTTGAAAAAAAATAAAAAATAAATGCTGAATGTACTAAATTTTTTTACTACAGGGTTGAAAAGTAATGGGGGTCAGTGAAGGAATTAAGTGCGAATCTACAGTGTTTGTAAACAAGGCCATGTGAATGCCCAAAAATGCCGCATGACCCTATGTTTTTATTGTTGCAAATGATAGGGCTACATTTGTACTTTCATGAATGATATATGAAATTTTCTAATTTCTAAAGGTAAATCAGGTATAAATTTAATTCAAGACATAGATTAGCATTACAGTCAATGGGAGATTTTTCACTGAATTTACCCCTGTAGTGAGAACCGTCATATCGTCTTAAGGTAAACTTTTATCGAGGGAATTCCAACACTTTATGTTATGTCAGTAAGGTTGCTGTAGATCGTTAAAATGAAAATGACCCTAATAAAGATGTGAATATCATGCCCAGTATTTTGGCCTCGAGCATCACTGAAGAGACATTGATTGTCGAAATGCGCATCTGGTGCAGAAAAATTGCTACCGTTGATGTTATTACTACCACTGGGTCGATGCTTCTGCTGGTTGACCGATAGTCCCCGAGGGTATCACCATCCCAGTATCCAGTACTTCGGTACTGGCATGAAAATACGGATTTTGTGTTTTCAAATTTGCGGTTACAAAATTTTTAAAATCATTTTAAATTAAGGAATGTATCTCGCTCATGCAAAGCTCTGATTCCTTGCCCGGCTTTGGCTATACTTTTTTGACCTTTTTTGGTTTATAGCTCTTCATCCTTTTAATAAGCTTTGAATTTTCAAATATTTTGGCCTCGGGCATCACTGAAGAGATATTGATTGTCGAAATGCGCATCTGGTGTAGAAAAATTGGTACCGTTTATCTTATACTTCATAAGACCTCATTTGAAGTCTTGTGTGTCGCTTCTCTTCCTTCCACAATAAATTATTCATCATGCCTCTGTGTCCTATAGGTACCATGCATAGTCGCATTTGTCATCCTCGCTTATGATTATTCCGTTTGGGTTATTTTGGGAGGAAAACGAAAATAAAGGCGTCCGGATATTGTTTCCGTCATCGGACGGACTTTTTAGTCATAGAGGATTGTTTAAATTACACATAATTTTCATAGGTACTTGGGGACAGGACGATTATTTTCGCGTTTTTCTGTATACTATGAACATATATATATATACTATAAATAAAGTGTATTTGCTATTTACTATCAATTCCAAGTTTACTATCCACGGCGGTCACTGATATATTATATAGAGAGTCTCTAAATGCCCGCGATTTCGCGGGTGTGTTCTAGTGTTATTAATAACTTGTCTAATGTTAAAAAAACTCATATAAGCCAAAAATCTCAACAAAATTCATGTGATTAAATCCATATGTGTTGAGAAAATTGATAAGATATTCAAGGAATTATGATATCAATATGACTTGAGACAATTTTATAAATTGGAGTTTTTTTAATTATCAGAAGTTTTGCAATGCATCATTTATTAAGTTAATCAAATATTTACGTCTTGCCTCAAAGAATATTAACAAGTCATTGATGCTCATCTCCAAATAGTTCAAAACGCAGTGAGTTAACCTAAACAGTATAATGGTGACTAATGACTGAAAAATGTAAACTTTTGCGCTCGACTTATAATAGTTTGTCATCGTTCTTTGCCGTTTTTGATAAGTTTTTTGTAGAAAATTTGATGACTCATTGTGTATTATTCTACATCTGATTTTAATCCTTTTCATGTGTTAATATAAACAAAAAAGATATGTGGTATGCTTGCATAAATTAGGCCGTTAGTTTTCTCGTTTGAATTGTTTTACATTTGTCATTTCGGGGACTTTTATAGCTGACTATGCTGTATGGGCTTTGCTCATTGTTGAAGGCCGTACGGTGAACTATGGTTGTTAATTTCTGTGTCATTTGGTCTTTTGTGAAGAGTTGTCTCATTGGCAATCATACCCCATCTTCTTTTTTATATTTGCTAATGAGACAAATATTCATCATAGACCAAGGTAACGATGATGTAAGCCCATTTCTATTATTTTTAAAATTTTCCTTCCATGCCATGTTTACCTGAAAGACGGTCTGCTTATATTAACCTTTCTAAAGAGTTATTATATCACTGACCTTTAATTGACATTGGTTTTGTTTATAGTTTTTCCTGTTGTATACATGTATGAGTCAAATCTATGTACAGCCTCAAATCTGTGTCCATGTTGGAGATGTGTCCCTTGACATCATGACACTTAATTCTGTGGCCGTCTGTCTAGCCTCAAATACGTCATTTTTTCCCTCAGATTTATGTCCCGTAACGTCGTGAAACTCTTGGTTTATTCAAATTTGTGTCCATTTAAAAAAAGTAGACTTTCATGTAATGTGTTGTGACGCTAGAGAGAAACATATAGAATTAGGCGGGTTCAAAGTGCTCTACTCTACCCTAATCTGAGACCTCTGTGTAACAAGAAAACATATTAACGAACTGTAAAAATAAGTCGGAAAGGGTTTGAGTGACTCACATTCAACTAACAAAAACAAAACAGAAGGATAAACGACACAAATCTTCTTTACTGTTTATATTGGCCCTCAAGACATCTTTCCTTGCTTGACAAACTCACCCCCCCCACAAGAAAAAACCGTTCGTGAAAAAATGTCTCTATTGAGAGAGAAAAAAGTTTTAGTATTCTGACTATTAAACTAAGACATTGATTTAAAAATAATTGATAAAATCTTGTTAATAAGGGTACTTTATCTATATATAACATTATACATATTTCTAATAAGGTTAAATCAAACTATCCTACTGCTTGTCGATACTTATTTTTGGCATTACACAAGTCCTGCCTTTTTTGACTGTCCATGGCGTTAAAAAACTAAATCCCTGGGATGTGTTTTAGTTGATTTTAATTAATTGTGTTTGGCTTTTAACTAGCTTTCAGTAACATCGAGTATTTTCAAATCGTACTTTCGTGTTAATTTGACATGTTGACACAATTTGTAATGCATTTTTGTTATTCAATGTTTAGTTATTTTATGTTATATCTCGTCTCACTATTTTTAATATGTACCACCTTTGATAAGTATTTGGTACAGTGTATGACGATAAATTTTCACTTCTGTTTTCGTACTATGAACAACAAAATTATTATATTCAAACTTACCTGTGTACGTTATTTTATTTAACGCCATTTTGTCAAAGGTTATAGTTGTCTTTTGGAATTGTTTTACATCCCCCCTTTTTTATTTAATATTATGTTAATATTATGTCATAGATCAAATTTAATCGTTCAGTTTATGTTTACTTGTTTTTGTTAATATGTTTTTTTGATTGAGTTAAGCCATTTCAATTCATATATTATAGTGTGTCTTTCTATTTTGTAATGGTACACTACTATTTCAGGTTAGGGTGAAGGTTGGCGCGTGTTAAAACGTTTAAACCCGCTGCATTTGTTTGCACCTGTCCTAAGTCAGGAACCTGTTGTTCAGTGGTTGTCGTTTGTTTATGTGGTTCTTAAGTGTTTCTCGTTTCTCGTTTTTTATATAGATTAGACCGTTGGTTTTCCTGTTTGAATTGTTTTACACTAGTCATTTTGGGGCCCTTTATAGCTTGCTGTTCGGTGTGAGCCAAGACTCCGCGTTGAAAGCCGTACTTTGACCTATAATTGTTTACTTTTTACACATTGTGACTTGTATGGAGAGTTGTCTCATTGGCACGTATACCACATTGTCTTATTTCTACGTAATACCTGAAAGATAACAAGTAAAAGGTTTTGTTTAAACCCTTTTCTTGATATTCGAGAAACTGTAACCCCCTATTTAGAGGGTTGAAAAAGTGAAAAATTTCCCACAGCTTTGACCCTTACTCCTAGACGGAAATTGATCAAAGAAACTTTTGCAGTATATCTCTATTTTTACACCTTCTTCTCTTAATTCCCGCTCCATGACTCTCACTTCAAGACTCTCATTCCCAGTTTCCCTTATCCATGTCGAAAAAAACTTTTCAAGTCTACCCCTATTTTCACCCTCCCCCCATCCCCTCCTCCCCGTTTTTCTTGGTTTCCATCCAATAACTCCCAATTCACGCTTCTCAATCCTAATATTCTTAACCCTGTATACATAGTTCAACACACATAAACTTTTCAATGGCCTTAACAGATGCAGATTTAATTTGAATATAAAGGTCGTCAATATTCTGACATCAATATATAGGACAGATTGCAAACCTTAAAAAGTTGAAAATTACGCAAACTTGAGAACCATGTATTAATGATGTCTATGACACACTATAGAATAGGGCACATATCTGAGGAAAGGACACAGGTTTGATGCTGTACATAGATTTGAGGCTTACATACATATAGTTATATTGTCCTTCACTGTTTCTTTTAATTCAGTAGCTTTTTGTCTTGCAAAACAATATACATGTAGGCATTTTATTTTAATAACAAGTTAATGATATGAAAGAACACGTCAATAAATACACACACACACACACACACACTAACAGTATATTACCTCAAACCGCATCAAAAAGCACATTTGGTAAATTAAAATTAGTACCGTTAAATACTATTGTATAGTTGTGATATAAAAATGATTTGAATTTATAGGGGAAACATTAATGATATTAGTAAAAAGAAGAAATCTAAGATAAACAGTTTCATGTACTCAAAATACAATATATCAAATTAATAATGAGGAAACCTAGATGCATCCGGATGCTGCAAATAAGTTTCGTGTTGTATTCTAGAACAATGTCAATAACAACTATAGGACCGACCAATATTAAAAGTTAATGTTTATTTATATTACAGTTAGTCAAGTAATACGGTGTCAAACATATAATCGCCGTCATGTGGCCTTTTTCTGTTCATTTTACTCAAGGTCATATTAAAATATTTAGGAGAAAATTATTGAAGTGTAAAAAATGAAAGATGCGCATTACAGCTACTTAAATTGATTTTGAAATTCTAAACATATTCCATCAAAAGTAATGCACAATTATAAAGCACCGTCAAGACATAAAAACGTCGATTGATTTGAAAGTTCTAAAATATCTATTTTCTAAAAATGACTAAATTATCATATTCAGCTGTTTCTATGTCGGGTCTCTGTTGTCCATTGTGTTCACTTGTTCCTAAAAAAATAATAAAATAGATTAAATGAATCACAATCAGGAGTCGTAATTGGCATTGAAAAAGGCTAACTTGATGATTGATTATTAAATTGAGTTATGGACAAGAAAACTAAATTAAATGTTCAGGGTAAAAACTGTCAAAAAAACATTAATAAACCCTGCATAATCGTGGGGTTTGATCTTTCAATAAGCAACGTTCCCCCCCTGCACTGCATGAATTACAAATTGTCAATTCTAAATTGACTTTCAGTATAAAGTTACACAGCCACAAAATGATAAAGCCAGGTATGTATAGGTTATCGGGGTTTCTTTACAATGATATTGTTCAATTTGAGTCCCAAATTGCAATTGTGATCTTTTTGTTGAGTGAGCGCATGGAAAAAAATACCTTTTTTTCATTAATTGAATTTTATAAAGCATTGACAACAAATCGGTAAATTAACTTCAGTACCTTAAAGACCTAAAAACTTTACCATATTGGGTTTATAGTTTTACCACTTGTTTATGAAATTGCCTCTACCAAGTCAGAAATTTGACAGTTGTTTTTTATTTGTTCCGTTTGTTGATATTATCGAGCGTTTGATTTTATCAGGTTTCATTGACATTTTGAATTTATTTTGGAGTTCGTTATTTCTGTTTATACGTTTTGGAATACGTTTTGCCAAAATGATATATTATATATGTATCTGTACCTTTGATCTGGATGTTGTCATATGATAAGATTTGTCCTCCTGTTTTGCCGTCTACTTTTACAACCTCTTTTACAACAACTGATTCGTACTCGTTCATTCTGTAATAGACATATTGAATATCACATGCAAGGTTGACTTAAGTTGAGTTTGATTATTCGGTTTTGGTCACTTTTGGTGATATGGATCTTTAAATTCACGAGTATGTATAAATCATTAACTTTGAAATATTTGAATTTTAGCGTTCCTGCTGAAGTTAAATCCAGAAAAGAACCCCGGACTTCCAAATTTTATAGAATGTCAATGTCATTGTCATTTGTAAGCCAAATATAATTTGATGAGCATACGGTATGTTAACTTTTCAACTCAGACTGACATACAGATTGATGCAGGCCTAACCTGTATAGCTAGTTAACTTCAATAGGAATTATAACTGCTCCAAGCGGACATAATTCATATTAACTTAAAAGCAGACTTGAGCCTTTGCCTGTTTTATTTCTGCCCGAAAAGTTAACTTTTATTGAAGTTAGATCTTTGAAGCGTGCAAAAGGCATTGAATTGTAATTCAATTCAACACCAAGGTACAAACTTTGAAACGACAGGGTAAGCGTCATATGCTAAGCATGCATCATGAGTATTCACATTAATTAATGTAAAAATGTAAAATAGGACCCATTCGGTACATTGTAAGCCTGCCTGTACAATTGCATAATTATTACTTACTTATTTATTATTTCAAAATTATTTGAGATACAGAATTAGTTTGACAGGTAAGAGAAGAAGATTTGTACATCTTTTAACGAGTTTATTTCTATGTATACATCCATGGCTTTCAAAATTGTAGGTTAGAGCGTTCCATGTGAAGATTAATCCTAAAAAGCACTTCGAACGCACCGAATTCATTTTGCAATACTTGTACTTGCACTGATATTGTACATTATCCGGTTGATATAGATTTGATTTATTGCTAGCTGCTCAATACATTGTGTTTCATTAAGATCGTTCAGGAACATCTCAATATTTGTCGCTTCATAATTGTTCCTGTTCCTTTTCATTCCTTTTATAATATCTTTTTTTCTTCGACCATGGCTTACATCAATGTATAAAGATTGGTTTCCATTATCTTTTGAAAATGTAACGGATGACAAGGATGCACCTCTTTGCTGAATAATTCAGCAGGCTTAAAAACATGAAAACTAGGTTTTTGGAAGCGACAAGCAATCTCGATCTGTAACTTACAGTTATACACTAAAAACCACAAAAGTTAATAACTAAATTTTCATGAGCAAAGAGAAAAAGAGTCAGAAGTACTATTTAAGGTAGATGGTTTTGTCTTTAATGTTTTGCCAAAATCAAGTAAATGTCATGCTATTGTAAAAAAATATAAAATAAATGAATCACGGGGCTTTTTCTAAAGCCACAAGTTGTGAAAAATAATTACAAAGTGTGTTTATATTTCAAATGTGAAAAACCTATTTCTGTCCCCCCCCCCCCCCCCCCCCCCCCCCCAAAAAAAAAAAAACTCCAATGATAACATTCTTTTGAAATTAAATATTTGCATTAAGAATATTCGGGTGATGGAACGAACTCGTTTTCTTGCTACAAAAGAAAATAGGTAAATCTACTGATAATTTCTTTACAAACGTATCATCTTATTTCTACCCTTATATGACTTAATTAAAGAAATAAGACGTTGAATCAAACGGAAAAAAATATTTTGTATTTGTAAAAGCAGTCGTAATAAATTGATATTTTTTCTATTTAGATGTAAAGTCTTACAAACGAATTTTACTCTTCTCTCCAAATTATTAGTTCATTTCAAGATTGTTTTTGCTGTTGTAGCTAGCTATACAACCAGGCTTAACTCACCATTTTCTTCGGGAAATGCTTGTACCAAGTTAAGAATGTTGCAGTTGTCGTTCACTTGTTCCGTTGATTGATATAACGTTTGGCTTTGTCAGTTTTGATGAACTTCCCCTTTCTGAATCTGCCTAAGAGTTCAATATTTTGTCATACTTTTTTAATATCATGGAGGACGGAAGATACCCGATATGCCTTGATGTCTTATGGATGGAATGATCGGAAAACATATATTAGTAACACAATACTCCAACCAAAGAGTACCTAGGCAAAACATTATTTGACTGTTTTCATATTCTAATTACTTTATTACCTAGGCTCTATCTGTGTTGACTGGTATCTGTCAGACGTTGATCTAGTTTCTGAAGAAATATATATTTATTGAAATCATATCAAAAACTCATCAAAGGTACCAGGCTTATAATTATATACTACAGACGAGTGATCGTATATAAACGACTCATCAGTCATGCTCGAACAAAAAATGTTAAAAGTAAAAAATAGTACGAAATTGAAGACTACTGAGGACCAAAAATTCCGCAGATCTTAGACAAATACAGTGAAGTAATCTATTCCTGAGGTAGAAAATCCCTAGTAATTCGAACAATTCAATGTTTTGATAACAGTTTATTTATTCACGTGAATTATGGGTTGTTAGTTACTAATGAGTTGTCTTTGTGCCTTTATAATTTATGGAATCCTTTTTATCTGAATTGCTACGAAAATATAATGGTTGCCAACTTTTAAAAAAAATGATATCACATAGGGTTATTGCATAAATATTATTTTGTACTTTCATCACTACGCTTGCATAAGTGTACATTATACATGTTTCGTGTTTTTGTTTGCATAAAAACTGTCCTTGATAGATTATAAAATTGCACGAGTTTGCGAGAACAACATATACTGACGGACTTTAAAAACGCAACACACGTTTTGTTATTTTTTAAAACCAAATCATGATTGATCCTCATACAACTACTATTTATGTTTACCATACTTCTTTCTGTTTAGCTAAAATCAACATCTGACTTACCTGTTGATATTGAACATACCGGATTATTGAAGTCGCACGAATTTCTTCAAGCGGAATTTGAAACCAATAAATAATATTATTTTATTTTGTCTTCGAGAAAACAATTCGTTTAATCCATACCCACACTTAAATCATTTAAAAAATGTTGCATCTCCATATTGCCGAGACTGAGCAATGAAAAACTGAATCAGCCCATAAGAATATGGCAGGCAGGAATTCATGAACGTGCTGTAACCAGACAATTGGACGTCAGTAACTCGTCTTACTGTCGTTTAAACAACGATACAGGTAGATGGGATTTGTTGATGACCAACAATGACCAAATCAATATGTAGTGACAGCTCCACGTAAATAGAATTTGATTACGCAACGTCATTTGTAAGACATTTTACGACCGCAACGTCAACTTTTTATCAAATTGCCGAATGCTATAGCAGACAGATTCATGCCATAAATGTTTCCCATAAACAGAAATGCCTATGAATTGACTGCAGAAAAACATATAAAGCCCTCAAGTTTCAACCTCATAATTGCCGAAACACACTGTAATGGTTGGGACAAAGGCAAAATCAGAAGGTGTAAAACAGAACTCAAAACATGCCTAACAGAATTGGTTGACTTTTCTTACAATCATTTGGCGTTGGTTACAGACATTCATTGCCTTCGAAGGTGACACACCCACTGATAAGGGGAAACCAGGTTTTCAGTGCATACCAGATGATTTGATCATTAAAATTGACATAATCAATTCAACTTTCGAACTGCAAATTCGTTTTAAACAATGAAGTGATGAATGAAATTTATGTTCATACATTTGTTTGGCAAAAATTGCATATTTGAAAATGGGAATAAAAAAGAATAATCTAGAGTTGCGTTTCTAAAGTAGGTCAGTATATCTTATACGAGAAATAATTCACCAATATGCATGTACAAATCTTTTTTGTATAGCACCGAAAAAAAAAGTTTAAAAAGATAGTCTTGTCAATTTTATGACGTCCCTCATATGAATATTTATTTGCAACACAAGTGCGATATTTATTACACGCTTACTTTTGGCTTCATTTTGTTTAAAATATGTCGATGCTAAACAATATAATAATATGTATGTCATACCTATTCGACACAGTTAAATTCCTCTTTGATACTTTAAGGTGATACCAAATACCTTTACTAAAATTAATTTGGCTCGTTTAATTTTCATAAAATTTTAACAAAATATTTACTTTGACCCTTTGACAAAAATATAAAAATTTCCAAAAACTTGAACCACAAACTTTATCAAAAAAGTTTCAGTGGATATTTAGCAGTTTGACAAACACTAATTGTGATCATTCATATTTCCATAATATTAGAACATGATTAAAACGTACATCTGATTTTTACAGAGTTATCTCCCTGTAGTGTTAATTTTCACCTTAGTATTCGATATATTCCAGTCCTTTTGTACTTTCATTACTACGATTGCGTTAGTACATTATACAGGTTTAATGTTTTTGTTTGCATAAAAATTTTCAAATCTGTATTTATATATTGTATGTACCATTTTGTATAGATGGCTTTTTGCGTCTTGTTTTCACGACTACAAAAAGAACTGCCACTACTAGGAATGCAAGAGATATACCTGTCCCGAGACCTATTGCTATACTTTTGTATGATTTGTCCTTGACGTGAGCTGCAATAAACGTAAATAACATTTGTAAAAAAAAATGAATATATGTATTCTGGACGCATATCTGCGTTTTTCGTATGATTATTGCACACATTACACAGAAAGCGTAAATGTGACCGTATACAATGTTTAAGATCATATGTGGAATCATCTCAACTTCTTATGTTATAAGGCCCATACTTATTGATGATCGTTGAACATGTTTTATACTTCAGAAGCTTATTTAAATGAATAAGTGTCAAAATTAACATCGTACATCAAACGTCTAGCAGTGTACATTGGCTTCAAACAGAAACAATGACTGAATAACGAACAAAAGTGCCACATTACGTTTGATGAACGAATGTGAAATACAAAATCAAATTAAACGGAAACCCCTTGTTGCTTTCAGTATTTAAACAAGGAAAATCAAACAATTAAATATGCATTTATCGTTACGTTGAAGTGCATATGTGGGAAAATTCAACATGCAGATCATACCTATGCAAGACACACCATCTTCGGATAAAGACCTACTGTCACTATTACATTTACAATAAAAAGATCCATTTGTATTCATACACTCGTCGTCACATGTATCATTGGAAAGTAAACACTCATTTATATCTGAAAGTGAAAGTATTTGTTTATTGTAAAGAAAAAGTATAATCTGAATACAACTTTAATATATTCTACTAAGTATTTAGTGGACAGTTATCTCATTGGTAAACATACAGACCATCCTTATTTTTGCATTGAATTTATATATATATAGGTTTGAACGTTGTTTTTTTACTTGTTTATATTTTTTCGTTTGAGCTTGTATTATATTTGCCTTCGGGTTTATGTGATCCGTTCATCCTATTTTGACTCCTCAAAATTCAAGAGTCTATCCTAAATTGAGGTAAATTTTATGGCTTCCCAAATACCGTTTCGATTCCTAACATCACTGAAGAGACATTAATTGTCGAAATCCGGATATGGTGTAAAAAAACCTTTGCACCTTTTGTTTGCGGTATAACATCTTTTCTGCAAGTTAATTGTTTTCTGTTTAGTATTAAATTTTTAATTAAGATCCATTTATTACATCGGTGATCCGTTTATTTGGCAATCGCCAATGGCAGTCAGCAGGGTTTAAGTACATTTGTTGTTCGACCTGTTAGTCAAATGCGTTTTGTTAAAATATACTTTTTTACTTTTTTGGTCTTTTGGAAAATGTTGTTTGTGCTGTATTTGGACCCCTAACAAGAAATGTATTTTGCATGCACACGTATAAAAATTGCGGTTTTTATCCAACGCAATCATAGGTTTGAACGTTGTTTTCAATTTAGACTTGTTTATACTTTTTCGTTTGGGCTTGTATTATATTTGCCTTCGGGTTTATATGATCCGTTCATCCTATTTTGACTCCTCAAAATTCAAGAGTCTATCCTAAATTGAGGTAAATTGTATGGCTTCCAAAATACCGTTTTGATTCCTAACATCACTGAAGAGACATTAATTGTCGAAATCCGGATATGGTGTACAAAAACCTTTTCACCTTTTGTTTGCGGTATACAATCTTTTCCGCAGGTTAATTGTTTTCTGTTGAGTTTTAAATTTTTAATTAAGATCCATTTATTACATCGGTGATCCGTTTATTTGGCAATCGCCAATGGCAGTCAGCAGGGTTTAAGAACATTTGTTGTTCGACCTGTTAGTCAAATGCGTTTTGTTAAAATATACTTTTTCACTTTTTTTGGTCTTTTTGAAAATGTTGTTTGTGCTGTATCTGGACCCCTCTAACAAGAAATTTGTTTTGCATGCACACGTATAAAAATTGCGGTTTTTATCCAACGCAATCATAGGTTTGAACGTTGTTTTCAATTTAGACTTGTTTATAATTTTTCGTTTGGGCTTGTATTATATTTGCCTTCGGGTTTATATGATCCGTTCATCCTATTTTGACTCCTCAAAATTCAAGAGTCTATCCTAAATTGAGGTAAATTGTATGGCTTCTCAAATACCGTTTCGATTCCTAACATCACTGAAGAGACATTAATTGTCGAAATCTGGATATGGTGTACAAAAACCTTTGCACCTTTTGTTTGCGGTATACCATCTTTTCCGCAAGTTAATTGTTTTCTGTTTAGTATTAAATTTTTAATTAAGATCCATTTATTACATCGGTGATCCGTTTATTTGGCAATCGCCAATGGCAGTCAGCAGGGTTTAAGAACATTTGTTGTTCGACCTGTTAGTCAAATGCGTTTTGTTAAAATATACTTTTTCACTTTTTTGGTCTTTTGGAAAATGTTGTTTGTGCTGTATTTGGACCCCTGTAACAAGAAATTTGTTTTACATGCACACGTATAAAAATTGCGGTTTTTATCCAACGCAATCATAGGTTTGAACGTTGTTTTCAATTTAGACTTGTTTATATTTATTCGTTTGGGCTTGGATTATATTTGCCTTCGGGTTTATATGATCCGTTCATCCTATTTTGACTCCTCAAAATTCAAGAGTCTTTCCTAAATTGAGGTAAATTGTATGGCTTCCCAATTACCGTTCCGATTCCTAACATCACTGGAGAGACATTAATTGTCGAATCCCGGATATGGTATTCAAAAAACCTTTGCACCTTTTGTTTGCGGTATACCATCTTTTCCGCAAGTTAATTGTTTTCTGTTTAGTATTAAGTTTTTAATTAAGATCCATTTATTACATCGGTGATCCGTTTATTTGGCAATCGCCATTGGCAGTCAGCAGGGTTTAAGAACATTTGTTGTTCGACCTGTTAGTCAAATGCGTTTTGTTAAAATATACTTTTTCACTTTGTTGGTCTTTTGGAAAATGTTGTTTGTGCTGTATTTGGACCCCTCTAACAAGAAATTTGTTTTACATGCACACGTATAAAAATTGCGGTTTTTATCCAACGCAATCATAGGTTTGAACGTTGTTTTCAATTTAGACTTGTTTATACTTTTTCGTTTGGGCTTGTATTATATTTGCCTTCGGGTTTATATGATCCGTTCATCCTATTTTGACTCCTCAAAATTCAAGAGTCTATCCTGAATTGAGGTAAATTGTATGGCTTCCAAAATACCGTTTTGATTCCAAACATCACTGAAGAGTCATTAATTGTCGAAATCCGGATATGGTGTACAAAAACCTTTTCACGTTTTGTTTGCGGTATACAATCTTTTCCGCAGGTTAATTGTTTTCTGTTGAGTTTAAAATTTTTAATTAAGATCCATTTATTACATCGGTGATCCGTTTATGTGGCATGTTTTACATGCACACGTATAAAAATTGCGGTTTTTATCCAACGCAATCATAGGTTTGAACGTTGTTTTCAATTTAGACTTGTTTATATTTATTCGTTTGGGCTTGGATTATATTTGCCTTCGGGTTTATATGATCCGTTCATCCTATTTTGACTCCTCAAAATTCAAGAGTCTTTCCTAAATTGAGGTAAATTGTATGGCTTCCCAATTACCGTTCCGATTCCTAACATCACTGGAGAGACATTAATTGTCGAATCCCGGATATGGTATTCAAAAAACCTTTGCACCTTTTGTTTGCGGTATACCATCTTTTCCGCAAGTTAATTGTTTTCTGTTTAGTATTAAGTTTTTAATTAAGATCCATTTATTACATCGGTGATCCGTTTATTTGGCAATCGCCATTGGCAGTCAGCAGGGTTTAAGAACATTTGTTGTTCGACCTGTTAGTCAAATGCGTTTTGTTAAAATATACTTTTTCACTTTGTTGGTCTTTTGGAAAATGTTGTGTGTGCTGTATTTGGACCCCTCTAACAAGAAATTTGTTTTACATGCACACGTATAAAAATTGCGGTTTTTATCCAACGCAATCATAGGTTTGAACGTTGTTTTCAATTTAGACTTGTTTATACTTTTTCGTTTGGGCTTGTATTATATTTGCCTTCGGGTTTATATGATCCGTTCATCCTATTTTGACTCCTCAAAATTCAAGAGTCTATCCTGAATTGAGGTAAATTGTATGGCTTCCAAAATACCGTTTTGATTCCAAACATCACTGAAGAGTCATTAATTGTCGAAATCCGGATATGGTGTACAAAAACCTTTTCACGTTTTGTTTGCGGTATACAATCTTTTCCGCAGGTTAATTGTTTTCTGTTGAGTTTAAAATTTTTAATTAAGATCCATTTATTACATCGGTGATCCGTTTATGTGGCAACCGTCAATGGCAGTCAGCAGGGTTTAAGAACATTTGTGTTTTGTCCTGTTAGTCAAATGCGTTTTGTTAAAATATACTTTTTCACTTTTTTTGGTCTTTTGGAAAATGTTGTTTGTGCTGTATCTGGACCCCTCTAACAAGAAATTTGTTTTGCATGCACACGTATAAAAATTGCGGTTTTTATCCAACGCAATCATAGGTTTGAACGTTGTGTTCAATTTAGACTTGTTTATAATTTTTCGTTTGGGCTTGTATTAAATTTGCCTTCGGGTTTATATGATCCGTTCATCCTATTTTGACTCCTCAAAATTCAAGAGTCTATCCTAAATTGAGGTAAATTGTATGGCTTCTCAAATACCGTTTCGATTCCTAACATCACTGAAGAGACATTAATTGTCGAAATCTGGATATGGTGTACAAAAACCTTTGCACCTTTTGTTTGCGGTATACCATCTTTTCCGCAAGTTAATTGTTTTCTGTTTAGTATTAAATTTTTAATTAAGATCCATTTATTACATCGGTGATCCGTTTATTTGGCAATCGCCAATGGCAGTCAGCAGGGTTTAAGAACATTTGTTGTTCGACCTGTTAGTCAAATGCGTTTTGTTAAAATATACTTTTTCCCTTTTTTGGTCTTTTGGAAAATGTTGTTTGTGCTGTATTTGGACCCCTCTAACAAGAAATTTGTTTTACATGCACACGTATAAAAATTTCGGTTTTTATCCAACGCAATCATAGGTTTGAACGTTGTTTTCAATTTAGACTTGTTTATATTTTTTCGTTTGGGCTTGGATTATATTTGCCTTCGGGTTTATATGATCCGTTCATCCTATTTTGACTCCTCAAAATTCAAGAGTCTATCCTAAATTGAGGTAAATTGTATGGCTTCCCAAATACCGTTTCGATTCCTAACATCACTGGAGAGACATTAATTGTCGAATCCCGGATATGGTATTCAAAAAACCTTTGCACCTTTTGTTTGCAGTATACCATCTTTTCCGCAAGTTAATTGTTTTCTGTTTAGTATTAAGTTTTTAATTAAGATCCATTTATTACATCGGTGATCCGTTTATTTGGCAATCGCCAATGGCAGTCAGCAGGGTTTAAGAACATTTGTTGTTCGACCTGTTAGTCAAATGCGTTTTGTTAAAATATACTTTTTCACTTTTTTGGTCTTTTGGAAAATGTTGTTTGTGCTGTATTTGGACCCCTCTACCAAGAAATTTGTTTTACATGCACACGTATACAAATTGCGGTTTTTATCCAACGCAATCATAGGTTTGAACGTTGTTTTCAATTTAGACTTGTTTATATTTTTTCGTTTGGGCTTGGATTATATTTGCCTTCGGGTTTATATGATCCGTTCATCCTATTTTGACTCCTTTAAATTCAAGAGTCTATCCTTAATTGAGGTAAATTGTATGGCT